GCAGAGCCAGGAACCTGCTCAGCGTGAAATGCAGCCTCCTCTATGTCATGGTAATCTGCTCCACACCTCTTTGGCCTGAGGCCAGCACTGGGCCAGGGGGACATTAATAGATGGTACCTGCTGACAGCAGCGAGGAAGCCAGGAGGTGAGACATGGGAGGTCATGGTGCTCTGAATGGTGACAGACCACTTGTGGGAGGAATTTCCAAACTTCTGTCTAATTGCAGCATGGTACCTCACATGCTGGATGGAGCAGAGTGGATTTGGGTTCTTCCTCGTCCCTCACCAGAGCCAGAAGCTGATGGTGGTGGGACCATGATCTCCATGTATGGGCCAGGGATGTGTCCAAGTGCCTGGGCTCCCCGCGCTGCTGTGGCCCGGTCAATGCGATGGTGCTGGAGGCCATCCCGGCGCTGCAGACATGGAGGCTCCATCCCTCCCAAACATCACTGCCCTGCCTGGGCTGAGTCACCATCTCCTGGCTGTAAACCCAGCAGACAGTTTTGTCTCACACCTCGCAGCCTCACGGTGTTTGCTCGCTGCTACCTTGGCACTCGGGAGATGCTTAATGGGCTCCGGTGCCTCCCTGGGGTGTGCTGAGTCACGGAGGGGAGCAGAAATATTTCCCCCCTGCACGTCTCAATTAAAACAAGTTTTCCTCCCAGAGCGGGGCAGAGCGTTGGTGCCCCCAAACCTGCTCTGGCAGGGATTTATTGCACCCGCCGGGAGCTCCCCGACACGGGGCCACACCTGAGCTTGCCGGCGGTTGTCCTGCTCTGGGGGCCTCCCGGCATCTGCCGAGCGGGACCAGGCGGCACGTAGGGCCCACGAGCCAAGGCGGAGGTGAATACCTCCTTTGACACCAAGAACTAGACCGAAACTATGTCAACGAGGGAGCTGGGGCAGCTTTTCCTGTTTTTCCTGTTGGAGGCTTTGAACTGTGTCCTGCTGGGTCAGTGGCAGGGAGACACCTTGGGCTGGGATGGGGAGGGTCTGAAATCCTAGACCCTGGGAAAGGGGAGACTGATTGCCTGGGAGAGGTATGGGTGGGAGAGCCTGCAGAGCCCATCCATCCCAGGGAATTAGCCAGGAGGAGGAATCAGGGGACGAGCAGCAACCCATGTTTTCCAGAGGTGGCTTGGGGTAAGGGAGGAGAGAAAATGTGATGTTGGGGTGATCTGTCTTTGAAATGCCACCTCTGCCCTACATGCAATGCCATTTTGGCTGGTTTGGCTGCTATGGGTAAGGATGTGGTCTACAAGGAAAACTATGAATGCCCCAGAGCCTTGGGGGATCTCAAAGCACCAGTGTAACCTGAAGGGGGCCCCTTGGCTGCAGCCCAACTCTGGATTCAGGAGTCCCAGAAGGATGTTTCATGTTTTGCTGTAAGATGGTCACTGCCCAGACCGGGTAGGTGGCCCAAAGTCAAGACTGCGATGACTACGCAGCTGCATCTGTGGGGGCAGATTTTAGGGGCAGGGTATTTACCAGGGCTCAGTGATCCATTCTCCTGCTCTTGCACAAAGAGGCCATCACAGACCTCAAACTTTTCAGCTCTCAGTCCTGTCCAAAATGTGGGTAAAAGCTGCTGGGAGAGGGTAACACCCCAGCTCAGGAAGGGCAGGTAAAGCCTTGGGGCCACTCATCACGCAGATTCCATCCCCTCTGCTGCAAGTGCTGCAGTCGGATTTTATTGCTACAGCTATAAAGATACAAAAGCTGATAGCACAGACCCTTTCTCCTGGTATACAGGAAGGTGTTTTGTGCTGCAGGTTGTTGTTCTGCTGACAGAGCAAGGGGCAGGTCGTACCTGCGGGCGACGTTGCGTAATCCCGGGCTTCAAAGGGTGTCTGCAGAAGTAGGGGAGCAGTGCTGGTTGGTTAAATCTGCTGTACTGGAGAAGCTGGGCCCTGGGCCAGCATCATATCCCCCCACCACTGAAAATGTACGTGCAAAGTAAATGCTGTGTTGCTGGTCTGTGAGTATCTCGGGATTTTGCTGACACAGACGAGTCAGTCTAGGGTTGCACCGTGCCCCATCCAGGACTCACGGAGAGGCACTGGGTCTCCTCTGAGTGGGTCTTCCCTGACACTCTCCGCCCAGTCTGGCTGTTGCTACAGCAAATGGGTTTATTGGTGTCAGGCTGTGTGTTTTAGTGGTCTGGTGGAAATTTCTGCCAGATTTAGGCTGGCCCACCAGATACAACTCTGAGTTATTTTCGTTCTTCTGCTGACATCTAGTGTATGAAAACCTGTAACACACTGCACTGAGTGGGTTGGGAAATTTGGATATGGGACAAATGGGACTGTTTCTTGCCCTATTCATGACCAAACAGGCACCAGCGTCTTCCTCCAGTTCCTCCCTGGGAGCCTCAGTGACCCGGGTGACCACCAGCAAGGGGGGATCCCGCAGGCTGGTGCTGACTGGTATTTTCAGGTAGAGCTGCTGAAAATTAATCCTGACCAGAGTAGGAGAATGAATTCGAAGCGGATTATTGTCCAAGCCTCTTGCTCAACACACCCTGTTTTGACGGGTGGTGAATGGGCCAGTGGAAATAAGGAGCTGCTGCATTATCATGGAGATGTGTCCTCCGTTCAGGGTCCACCTCTGCAAGGAGGTTCAGGGCTGTGCATCTGTGCTGGATGGGGAGGAGAGGGGGGAACGGGGAGCAGCAGTTCCTTGGGTTTGGCTCTTTCCCCCTTATTCTGCTTCTGGTCAGAGCTTCTGGGCTCGTCTCTAAACGTTACCTCAGGACAGTGAGTTCTCCTGTTAAAATAAGTAATTTTAAATGTCTGCTGGTGAATAATTCTTATTAATGTCAACTTATATCCTGGCCTAGTATTCTTGCCATCTGCCTCAGTACACAAGAGTGTCAGGAGCTGTAGGGTGCGATGGTGCCCCAGACATGGGGTTGGTAATTGTGGGTCCATCTCCTGATGCTGCACAGAAAGCACGAGCTGGAGGAGGCTCCTTGGGGACACAGTGGTAACCTCTGGAGATGACAGGTGACATTAATAATCACACTTACTACTTTTGTTTGATTTTGTAAACCTGGGCTGGTTCTGGCTGAAAGCGAGAAGCAGATGATTTCAACTGCAGAAATAAATCATGCCCCACTGAGAAGATGTTTTTCTGCAAAAAGCAAGGTCTGTGCTGGTCTCTTTGGACAAGAGCAAGAGAATGGATCAGTGAGCCCTGGGAAATAGCCTGCCCCCAAAACTTGCCCCTCCAGACGCATCTGTGTACAGTCATCTGCCTGGCCTTAGCATTGGCCCCTGCACATTTCCCGCCCTGGGAGTTTAAATTTTTCCATTTCATTGTGTTTCTCCTAGTTGTGATAGGAGCCCAGCTTTTGGCATGCAGGGCTGTTATGACTTTATCACCCCTCCAGTGTTCAACAGGCTGGCCTTGAGCCCCCAGAATGACCCAAACTCAGGCTGTTGCTGTAGGTTGAGGTGGGGAACCTCTGCACACCCCAAAGCATCACAGAGAACAGAGGGGACCACGACTTAGACCTGCCCTGTGTCCTGACTGGTCTTGTCCTACGGTCACTGGCACAGAGCATGGCACCCACGGGCAGTGGTGGCCCTGGGGCTGGGCACACCAGCACCCACCCGGGGCACCCGCTCCTGCCCCGCGGGGCAGCGCCAGTCCCTCGTTCCAGCCTGGTCACAGTAAATCCTCCTGACACTGCTATGGGACGTCCGGCGGCTTCAGAGTTCTGTCGTGTCACATCACAGGATGGAGACGGGCAAGTGATCCTCTGTCCTTGCATGTAAAACGCACTTTAAGATAAAAAGTGCTGTGGGAAATCTTAAGTTGAACCGTTTACACTGCTGTTCACATGACTTTATTTTGTAAAAAACCTCTCAAATCTTGCCAGAAGTCAAGGTTTATTTCCCCATCCTGAGGGTATTTAATCCTCATCTCATTAACTTGCATTTTAATGTACAATTGCTGAGGAGAGAAAATAACCGAAATATTATGTCTTAGGGAAAAGATCAGATAAAAATCTATCCCAAAGCCATCAGAGATTCTTATCAGCATGTTTTTCTCTCTTCCCTAGCTGCATGAGCTTGCAGAAGAACCAGTTTTGCTTGGCTTGTGGCTTTCTGAGAGAAGAAATGCTTGCTGGAGAAATTTAGCTGGGCAGCAAGTCCCTGCTCGGGATGGTTGATAATTTGAGCATGGGATAGGAAACGAGAAACATCACTGCGTGGGATCATGTTGGGGTGCCCTGGGCAGTGGAAGGACTTGGCTCTAAAAAAAAGGAGAGATTTTTTTTTTTTCCCAATAATTTATGCAGAAAAACATCCTCTGAGTGGGGCGTAACTATTTCTGCAGGTGAAATCATTTGCTTCTCACTTTCAGCTAGAACCAGCCCAGGTTTACAAGATCAAACAAAAGTGTTAAGTGTGATTATTAACCCAGATCTCACCTTCTCCCTCAGACTTTGCTGAGGCTGTACCCAGGCACAGGGCTGTCCGGGGATAGAGCACATCAGGGCTTTCAACCAGCCCCATCTGTGAGTGCTGCTCTGGGTTAACGGGTGGAAACTAATACTGGTAAAATGACTTTTTGCAAAGCTGGAGTTAACTTTGCTTAAGAACTGCTTGAAACATGAACTTTTGGCAAATATGTCAGCAAAAAGCAATAGGAAAGGGCAGTTATTTTTTCCCATTTTGGTACTTTCCAGCCACTTTATGTTTCCTACTTTCTGTAGGAGATTAAAACAGGAGACAAATGCTCCAGCTGCTGCAGGTAGAGGCATGGAGAGTGATGGAAGTGGAAGTGGGAAGGCTGAGATGGCTTGGGGGGGGGGGGGGGGGGGGGGCAGATGGGGCTGAGCAGGCAGATTCCCCACAGAGCCGCCCTGCTGTAGCAAGGACAGAAAGAGTTAAGCCACAGCGTTGCTGGGGAGCTCAGGTGTGGCTCTGCTTTCCTTCCTGGCCTCCAGGATTAGAGCACCGTCTTGCCAGGCTTTGGGGAGACGTTAGGAAATGCCTGTCCCAGATCTGGGGCCAGGGTTCCTGTCCCTGCAGTGTGGGGTCTGAGGACAGCACCTTCCCCGGGGACAAAGCTGGCCCAGGGGACATCGTCGGTGGTGAAGGCAAAGCAGATGGTGCACCCAGATTTGCCCTGTGCGGGCTGGTTTTGAACGGCTCTGAGAAAGCAGCCGGTGCTCAGGAGAGCAAAAAGGCTGAGATTCCCTGTGACAGCTGCCTGGCCGAGGAGGGGGCGGTGGAGACGTCCTGCCTTGCCTGCCGGGAGCATCGCCAGGCTGCCCCGGGGAGCAGTGAGCTGCACCTGCAGCCCCTCCGAGGACGCCGAGCTGCCAACCCGCGGGTTAGAGCCCTTAACTCTAGAACCAGAAACCTGGTCATGAGGGAACAGCCTGGGTAAGTGAAGCGTACTTATTTTTAGGTGTAACCCTAGAAGCAAGTAAGTGGGAAAGAGTGAGGTTTGTAAAACAATGCTCTTTGTCCTTTCTCTGTATGGATTTACTTTCTCCCCCTGGGAGGAGGAGGGCTCTGCTTGCAAAGCAAGTGGTGGTTGCCAGTGTGGGAATGGAAAGTTTAATAAAACTTTTGGTCCTGTGCATTTACCAGATGTTGTGGCCAGTGCTGTGCAGGGCATCCCACACTGCATCCCACAAAGCTGGACAATATGGGGTGATCTCTTCTGGTGCTGTTAAACAGGTGCAGTCATCCACCTTGGATGGTGACCTGGTCTTTTTTGCTGGAGACGACTCCACTCCAGCTCTGGGCATCCAACACCTACCACAGGGCTCAGAGAGTTTCCCCTCCTTGGTCTTCTGACCCCAGAGAGAGTGCGTCAGTGATGGCTTTATGGTTTGTTCACAGGATGAGATTCTTCAGACCTACCCAGAGTATGACTGGAAGCTGAAATCTCTCGAGAAAGCAATTCTCAAAGTACAGAATAACACCCACTCTAGCACGGTAAGGCAGAACACAGCTGGGTTTGCTCCAGCTTGCTGTCGGTGCCAGGGGTGATCTGCCTCCCTGTATAATGATGATAGTCACAATTTTGCCCAATTTCTATCAGGTGGTTTCTGGGGGGCATCAGCAGAGCTCCTGTGGAGGAGGAGAACAGGGCTTAGTCTGTGGTGATGGAGATATCAGTTCAGTCTGTGTTTGTTAAAGCCGCGTGAGCTGGGAATGAACTGGTCTAAAATCCACAGTTTTGGCTGACATCTGGAGGATGAAGCCAGTGTAAGATGCTGTAGCGTGAGTTAAAAAGCCAAGGCTCCCTGGACTGAGCTCTTACTATGTGTGGATTTGGCTTTCAAGTGTCTCTGTAATGCACAGTTCAGCATGAGGTTACTCCCATATACAGACCCTGGGTGCTTTGGCCTTCAGAAAAAGTCAGACCATGTCAGTCCCTGCTGACGCTGTGGAGCAGTCCTGCTCTGGGATGAGCTGGGTCTCACCCAGCCAAGCCGGAAATCTGAATCCCAAACTCCATGTATTCCCAATAAAAGCCAAACTCACCAAGATCCTGTTTTTCAGGATGATTTCTTTTAAGCCTAAATGAAGATTTCTCCATCTCAGGAAGGTGGAACTCCCTTATGAAGGGTTTTGTTGGAGAATTACCCTCCAAACTAAACCTTGGTTATATCATCCAGCTGCTTTTTGGGTACATCTTTGGTGAATCATCATCTTGAGGGCAGAAACCACCCAAAGAGCAGTGTCACCTACTGCTAGATGTAACTAACAGAATCACTTGCCATCTTCAGCAAAGCATGAGCCATAATGGAAGTTATAACACCCAAAATAGTCATAGTGGTTGCCTGGTATGACCAGCTTTGTTACAAACTTCCTTGAAAAACAGCCTCAGTCCCATGTTTCAAGGCTACCACAGCCACAACTGTCTCTGTGCTGCTGAGTTTTCCATTTCCAAAAGGCATCGGACATGCCAGTGTTTGCAGGGGAGGTACCCTGGAGTGGAGAGGGGCTGATAGGAGCAGGAGATGACTTGAAGGACGGTACAACAGGTGACTTCTGTCCCATAGGCATCTGTCCTGGGTGTGGAAAGCCTTGTGGGAGGGTTTAGGCTGCTGCTGGTGGCAGTGGGGAGAGCACAGCAGGAGGTAGCGGCCTTTCTCAAGGAGAATTGATTGTGGCTGTGAACCACATCAACAGGATAAAGATCCACGCAGCATACAAGTGAGCCTTCATTGAGAATAAGCTCAAACTGGAGAAGATGTCTGCTCAGAGCACCAAGTGCCTCTTCTTAAAAGTAGGGTAGTCTGAGGTGCCTCCCAGTACAATGACCAGAGGGACAGGGAGACAGGAGAGTGGTGCCTGCCCTGACCACCGCAGCATGCCATAACTGCTTGCAAAATGCCTCCAACACACGCTATCAGAGCCTAAACCAGGTGAATATTTTTGTTTATTTTGTGGCTAGGAGTGCTGTGAATTCAGGAAGAGCTCCAGGGTGGATGCTTCTCCCCATGTTTACATCAGGCTGAAGGACAAACTGTCTCAAATCAGGTGGGTCAACATGGAGCCTGATATCTGCTTGTACTTATTTTTGCAAAGCTGCACCTGAGGGCATGTGCTTGCTTATAAACAGCTCTGTGCTGTCACCAAGTGGAAAAAGCAAGGGCCCAGAAAATTGCTTGTGAACCAGGCTGGAGCCCACCATACTGCCCTTTCTCTGTGGTAAGATTAGTGCTTTGGATTTGCAACATTACACTGGCTGCTGTGACAGCAAGCACATCAGGACAGGAGCTTAAATTTTTTTGATTTGCTGAAATTGGAACTTTTCTGAGGTCCTGATAAAACTTCTCCTAAGAACATGTTTCAAATCCAGGAGAGACTTTCTTGTCAGACCTAGAGAGAATGAGAAACAGCCAGATAAAAAGGGCATGAACTCGCAGTGTGAGCAACAGAGACCAAACTCCCTGCTCATCTCGCTCGAGACAAGATGCATGAACTCACCGTCCTGCTGAGTCCCCTGAGACCGGGGTCAGGCCAGGAGCTAACTCTGCTTTATCTTGTGGTGAATAATTTCAGGTCTCATCTTGACAGGGAATGGGAAAACCATGGTGATTGCAAGATGCTTTTGGAGCTGACAGCACCGTTTCTTGCCTGGCTTTAGTGACAGGTTGTGATGAGGCGTTAGCAGGTTGAGGGATGATCAAAGGGAGAGGGGAGGGATTCCCCAGGCCAAGAGGGATGCTGGGTCTCTCTCCAACACCACCTTAGAGCAGAGGGCAAGAAAGACCAGGGTTTTATGCCTCCCCCACTATGGCTTTGTCCTGATCTTTCTTTAATATGATAAACAGCAGCAGTCAGCTAATAATGATTTAGTATGTGGAAAGCCTGAGCTTTATCGGCGTCCCTATCCCAGTTCCTTTTAAGTCTCCGGTGGGAATCTCATGAGCAGTAAGATATAAACTGGCTGAGTTTGTACCCACACAAGGTAATATGGCTGAGCCTCATAAATCCCACTAGTTTGAATATATCAGCCCAGTTTCCCCAGCAAAGGCAAAACTACCAGGTACCAGCAGTGTTGAAGAGAAAGATTTGTGCTGGCTGGGGTCAATCTCGAAAAGTGCTTTGCACCCCAAATGTCAGCAGAGATGGGTGCTCTGCAGTGCATTTGGGGTGCTGAACCAGCCTCTCGCCTGTTTTTAGGCAAGAATAATTTCTCATACAAACGGTGGTCGAGCAGCCCTGCAAAACAGCTCCGATGCCTCTAGGCGGCACGAGAGTGTGTCTGATCACAGCCGGACACGCAGCCCCTTGCTTCTTGCCTGACTCTGCATGAACTGCTTGCAGATCCCGGGGTCAGGGAGTTCTCTCTGATCTCTGTCCCCTGTCATTGCGTGTGGTTGTGGGCTGGAGGAAGCAGGGGTGCTGTGCAGAGCACCCCGAGCCCCAGGTTGTGTCCCAAAATGCTGAGAGGCCGAAGTGGGGTTCTGCAATGTGAAACTGGAATCAGGCTCCACATCTGCATCTGCTTACAAAATCCTCTGTTTGGATGGAACCTCCACAGCACTGGCGGGTCCTCATCCTCCAGACAACGTGAGGAGCTGGTTCTGCACAGCTGGGAACCATTGCCCCTGTCCCCATGGTGCGTGAGTCCCAGGTACCAGGGCCCCTGGTTAGTGCTAGGGCAGCAACCATTTCTCTCTTTCCTTTTATTCCTGAAGAAAACTGCAGGATCAAAATGATGGTGTTTGCAACTGGACCACCCAACTGTCACATCTCTGCCCCCCAACCAAAGACAATGAGTGATTTCCTCAAGTGTAGGTCCTGAGTTTGATGGTTTTAATACTGACCTGCCTTTTAGGGGGAGGTGGAGGTTGGTAAGAAATTTCTAGAGATACCGAGTGAAATCCATCTCCCCTGTCTTGGACACACACTTCCATCACGGGTGGTGCAGCAGGGTCTGGAGGTGACTGTCTCCTGCCACTGACTGCAGAGAGAGCCTCAGGGTCTGGCTTAGACTCATAAGAACATGTAGGAAAGAAAATCCAAATTAAATAAAGGTTTATGGATTAAACTCTTTGGTAGGAGACTCTTACAAGGAATTCAGTTTAATTGATTTAAGGAAAACTAAACTGAGTCATGATCATTTTAATTCTGCTAAAAATGATACAAAGAAGTTTAACGTGACTTATCTTAATCCACTTGAAAAATCAATTCAGATTAATTTTCTTGAGTGTCTTGCATAGTTTGCCTTTGTTTTTTCACATGTTAATTGGTTTTATTGTGCATGGCTGAAACCTAGCATGACTGTAGCTTCCATTAGTCACAGAAAATGCTCCTGTGGTTATGTGCAGACTTTAAATACAAGGCTCATGTTGGGTAACCAGGATAGAGAATGCTCCTGGATAGGTCCTGTTAACGACTGCACAGAACCACTGTGGTTAGCAGGGACCTCTGGAGGTCTTGAGTCCAGCCTGTCTGCGTAGAGAGGGTTCACCTGGGGCAAGCCGTCCGGGGCTGTGTCCAGTTGGGTTTGATTATCTGCAAGGGTGGAGACTCCACAACCTATCTGAGCAAACTTTTCCAATATTTGACCATCTGTACAGTAAAAAAAAAAAAGTTTCTCTTATGTTTCAAAATCACTCCTTTCTATTCTTCTGTTTCTCTTAGCATGTGATGCAGAGCTGGAGACAACAAAAAAGTGACCAGCACTGCTCCATGGGAACAGCCTTACCCAGATCATCGTGGAAGACTGGAACACTGGCATCAAGTGCCGTCTGACAAGAGTTTGTACTTCACCTGCTACTATTTTGAGCTTGAGATACCTGGGGCTGATATTTACCTTGGCATGACGTACAGAAGCATTGACCAGACAGGTTCAGAAAGCAACTGCTGCACCGTGGGGAACTGCTGGAACATCCTGCAGAAGGGGAAAGGGTTTTCTGCATGGCACAGCGATGTGGACGTGCCCCTCAAACTGGATGTGTTTGGTAGGATGGGGGCCTACCCGAACTACCCTTGCAGAACCTAGTCATTTTACAGGGTCACCTATGATGACGTGACCTTGATGCACCAGCCTGAATATGATTTTGCTGAGCCGCTCAACCCCAACTTTTGGCTTTTAAAGAAAGAAAACTGTCAGGATAATGCGGCTGGGGGAATAAGCTGAGAAGATCCCAGTGTCCTTGCGTTACTTTGGGGAGCTACGCTCTTGAAAGCATCTGAGTCAGAAGAACTGGCCAGTGCTTAGTTTATGGTGTGATGCCAATGCTTTTGCCACAGGTAACTGGCTGAAGAAGGGAGAGATGTTTCAATAACGACTCTTGTAATCAAATGTGGTTCTGAGAATTCTATATTTTAGAGATGGGAAAGGCTTGAGAGTTCATGCAGCTGCTTGTCCAGCGGTCAGTGCAGGTTGTTCCCAGCAGTATATCCACTAATATTTTGTTTAGTACATGTTAAAGCCTTTTTCATTTTGTTGTTGTTGTTGTTTTATTTCCATCCCCCCCTAAGGATGGTGTTGTGTCACTGCCCTGACCTGTTGGTTTTACTGTACTGATGTGAGTGAGCAGACAGAAGCTGGCCAGCCCATGGTTGTGTTACCCTTTTCCAACCGCTGCGCCTGGATAAACGATCTCAGCCCCCAGCTCAGTTTCCAACGGGTTTCAGGCCCAGGGTGGCACTGGGGCACAGAAAGGTCCCTCTTGGTCCCCCTCCCACCCCCTGGTCCGTGCTGGGAACAAAGTGAATGAGGCTGGTGCCGGCTGGGTTGAGGGAGGCGAGGCCATGCGGTGCCCCCCAGGAGCAGCCCAACACCACCCCCCCCCCCGTCCTTCTCGGGAGGTGGCCGGGGCGCGGGTGGGATGCGCGGACGCTGCGCGGGGCGCGGGAGACCCGCGGAGGGTCGGGAGCCGGAGGAGCAGCCGGCGGGGCCGCGTCCCCGGGCCGAGCCGCCGCCGCGCAGCCCGCTCCCCGCAGGGGGGCGCTCTCGGCCCGCCGCTGCCTTCCTCTGCCTCCTCCTCCTCTGCCAGCGGTAGCGGGGACAGGGCCCGGCAGCCCCCCCCCACGCCACGGGCACGCCGGTGGCCTCCCAGCCCTGCCGCCGTGTCCCTCGCTCGCTGCCGAGGGACCCCACGGTGGTCTGACACGGTGGGTGACAGGGGTGCCCCAGCACCCCGCGCCCTGCCCGTGCTCCGCTCCCCCTTGGCGGCTTTCGGCTTGGGCACGGCTTTTGGGGTGCAGTGCTAGCGGAGGGAGCTGCTGTGAGAGGGTCCCCGCGTGGGCTGCTTTAGCTGCGGGCTCTGCTAAGTGACCTCTGGGGACCCAGAGTGACCTTGGCAGCCCCTTGCACCCAGGGACAGGCAACACAAATGGGTGGGAAGCAGAGAAAATTCGCTGCACACACAAGTTGCTCGTCAGCAGGATGGGGCAAGCTGCAGGCGGCTGATCGGTGGAGCTGCAGGGACTGCTGAGAAACTCAAAATTTCCATCCCCCAGAAGTCAGCAGAGCGAGAAGAAAAAGGGAAAGAAGCTTTTCCAAAGCACTTTGCAGAGGAGGTGAATTCATCATCGCTCCATTCTGCCAGTGGGGAAACTGAGGCAGGGGTTGGAGGAACCATTTGCCAGCGCTCACCTAGCAGAGATGCAGTTAGGTGTCAGGGTGCCTTGTCTGCACTGGGCCAAGTGCAGTGTTAGTACTAAGTTACTGCCTTTATCCCAGGTACTTTCAGTCTTGGGGCTGTGATGGGTAAATGTTTATTGTGCTCTCTGTACAACACGAAGATAGAAGTGGCGAGTTAGGGTAGAGGAAAATAAAAGGCACCAAAGCTTGGGAATCTATGCATGGTTCTTCTACTGCTCACCAAAGGGCTGGCCAGAAGCCAGATTTTAATTTCTGAAAGTGTTTCTGGGGAGAAAAAGACAAAACACTGAGCAAGGCCAAACCAAAGCCATTGGCTGTTGAAATCCAAATGTTTAAAGTTTATTCTTATTTAACCCCTATACAAATATGTGAAATGGAAAAAGAAATCTCATTTCTTATGACCCAGTAAGTCAAGAGTTAGTGTTTCGCAAAAAGATCCAACAAAACCCAGTGTCTTGGAGATGAAGCTGGACAGTGGCATCTGGACAGGAGATGCCCAGTTCCATAGCAAGGGCTGGAACAACCAGGACCCCTTAGCTGGGGTGGCTTCTCCACTGCCAAAGGCCAGGAAGTGAGTGGTTGTGTAGCTAAAAGAGAAGTTGCTCTGGTGATGGGTATGTAACAGCTGGTACTTAGAGAGGCTCTTTGGTCTGTGTTATGAGAAATGTCAAATCACACAATTAAATCAGTCCCTGTTGGTTTTAAGCCTCATGGACCTGTAATCCTAAGGGTGCACTGATGGATTTACTTCCATTTCACCGGTACTTGTTACAAGAGTATTTTGTTTCAAGGCAGTAACTAGAGCAAAGGGGCTGTAAATTGCACCCATGCATCAGCCCTGGCAGGAGAGGATCTGATGCTCTAGAGGGTCCAAAGGGGACAGCGTGGCTGAAGCAGAGGCTTCCCCCAGCTGTGTGGTCTCAGGGGGATTTGAAAAGAGGATATGGGAAGCAAAGGGGCTTCAGTGAGCCTCCAGGGACAGGGTAGAGCATTGCTTCTCCTCTCTTTGCAGGCTGAAGTTTCCTTTCTCCTGGCAGCATGCTGCACCCACACCTGGAACATCTCTGTCTGTGTCCATGCCTGCACTTGTGCTGCCAGAAGTAAGATTTCATGTAGGAGAGATGTGCTTCCAGACCACCCTGGCATGGACAGGAAGAAGAAGGCACAAAACTTGCTCATCTTGAGCTGTTGCAGATGTGGGCTCAGCCACGGACCCAACTCCCATGTTCAGCTGCAAAACTGACTCCTGTGTCCAGGCTCAGTCCTGCTCTCCCTTCAACCCCAGCACACAGCACCAAATTCCACTTCCCAGCACCCATGTAGTGGGTGTTCCTGACTGCAGGAAGGGATGATGGTGATGGCACTGCATAGCCCCATGCCCCAGTGCCACAGCTAAGGACAGAGCTGGAGGAACCTCCACCCAAAGCTGGCTCTGCTGCTCTTCTCAGCTCTCATTTTAGCTTGGCAGCCCATGCCCAGGGGGGTAGGTATTTTATCCCCACAGTGCCAAGCCTCTCCATACCCAGGCTGCATTCAGGGATTGGCATGCAAATAAGCCCACTGCTGCCTCAGACTGTGATAATTAAAAGTGAAGTTGTAAAACAAGCAGCATCAATTTTTGGTGCACGTCCCTAGCAACACATGGTGATTGGACTGAGTTAGGAGACATTTCCAGCTACGCAGCAAACTCTAAATAGCCTGGAGAGAATACATGGGAGTTTAGCTTGTGCAGCAATTTCAGATGTCAAAACAAGTTTCCTTGTTAATATGAAACTATTTGGACTTTGCATTTTTAATTAAAGCTTTTAATTATCCAACTGTATTTTATTAGCTTTTATGAAGACAGCTGCTTTAAATGCTATAAGCCAAATCTGTGCTCTGAAGCACTACTTGTTCGAGACAGCGTTTTGGTTGTGAACAGCCTTCATTGTGAGTAAATGGGGTTGTTTAATTTAAACTAGAATTTACTGTCCCAGCCTGATTGAAACTCTTTTATGGCAGAGACAATAAATAGCCTTGGTGGGGGCCTTTGTGTGCCCATGGCTGGGAGTGGGTGCTGTGCTGGCACCCCGGGCACTTGCCTGTCAGCCCTTTCAAGAATGACCATCAACTCCTTCTGGAAAGGGTTTCTCTGCCCACCTCACCTCCCTTCTCACCTTGTTTTGTCTTTGAGCACTAGACCGAGACTGAAAGGTCCTGGGTGGAAGCCTCTTGCACCCTTGTGGTAGGTTTTGAGGTGCCGAGGCCCCGGAGCTGGTGCTGCAGGTGGGTCCCTGCAGAGCAACGGAGTCACCCACTCCAGGGCAGGGGCTCAGGGGAGCTCGCTGGGCTCTGGTTTGCAGGAGGTCAGGCTTCATGGCTGGTCTTCTCCTGTGCCTGCTCTTCGGTGCTGTAATCACAGACTATCTTGATCAAGCAATAGCTAGTGCTTGTGTTCCCGTCCATAACCTGGATTACTTATTCACTGGGATCATGTTATTTACAACTGCAGTGTGGCAGCATGCCAATAATTGAACAGGTTGTAGAAGCCTTTATGTCCTTCCTGTGCAGGAGGAGAGGCAAAGAACAATAGAGTATCTGAATACAATTGCAAGGGAAGAGCTGACAATCCGGACAGGGTTTCTGGCTGAAGCACAGCGCTGTGCTGAGCTCAGCGCCAGCTTCACAGAGAGCGCTCCGGTTTGAGACCTTGCTCTTCATCACTGTCAAAAATCAGCAAACTAAATCAGCTGTAGTTTGCCAAGAAGAAAGGCAAAGCAGGCAGCTTTTAAGCACTGATGGAGGTCAATCCACAGACCTAGCAGGATCACAGGCTGAAGTGATGATGCTGCGTGTGAAAGGGCAGCTCAGGACCCTGTGTGTGTGTCTCTGCGTTAGAGGACAGATCAAAAGCCTTGGTGCTGGGCAGGACTGTTCTCACCAGACCTGTGGTAGCTGCTGGCGATGAACTTTCTTTTGACCCCTTTTGTGTTTCAGGGCAGCTCACACTGGGATTGATACAGGTGGAATATTGTTCAGAGGAGATGCCACTACCTAGCATGGCATGCAGGGGCCGAAAGGACAGTAGTGCACACACTGTTAAGGAACACATCTGTATGCTTGTGCAGGGGCTGGAAGATCAATGAATCAAATGTCTTCTGGCTTCCCTTGGACCAATGCCTGTGCTGACAATTTGTACCTGTAGAGCATTGCAGTGCAGACCACAGACGGATTCCTCCAACAAATGGATTCAGATGTATCTCCTATTTATCCCATCCCCAGAGAAAGCTGCTGTTTGCACTGGGAGCTGCCCTGTGCTTGGGGATATTTTTTCTCTGATGATGGCATCTGTGTTGAGCAGTATGCTGGAAAGGGCACTGACACCCAGGCAGGGGCATGTCCCAGGAGACCTCTGAATGGAAAGACAGCGATGGGGATCATGTCCAGCTGGCGGATGGCACATGTAGACAGAGCAACAGAACACAGAGACTTGGTTGGGCTGGGACTCGGTGTTGTCATGGTTTAACCTCAGCTGGAAACTAGGCCCCACACAGCTGCTTGCTCATTCCCACCCAGTGGGATGGGGGAGAGAATCGGAAGAGTAAAAGTGAGAAAACTCGTGGGTTGAGATAAAGGCAGTTTAACAGGTAAAGCAAAAGCCACACAGAAGCAAAGCACAGCAAGGGATTCCCTCCCCACGGCCCAGGGCGGGCAGGCTCAGCCCTCCCCAGGACAGCCGGGCTCCATCACGCGTGACGGTGACTGGGGAGGACAAACGCCGTCACTCCGAGCGTCCCCCCTTCCTCCCCCTTCCCCCAGCTCTATGTGCTGAGCATGGCACCGTGTGGGCTGGGATG